CCAATGAAGTCAACTCAACCACTGTGGGACTATTACCTGCTTAAAGTTAAGTAGTATAGTGGTAGCCCTGTGGGTCCCAGGATATTAGAGAAACAAGGAGGGTGAGGCAATATCTGTTAGTGGACCAGCTTCTCTTGCTCAGCAACAGAAGTTGGTCCAATATAAGACATTATCTCGCCCACCTTGTCTCTCTAAAGTTAAGCATGCATTAAAATGGTTTGAAGGACTGCAGCCAGAGTGCTCAGCACCTTGCAGGAACCAGGCCCATCTGAGTAAAACTGCCTTTCGTGTCCTCGCTCAGGCTTCTGTGCTTAGGGGGTATGTGGGTGACCTTACTAACATTTGCTGCAAAAACATGGGCACAGTCAGCGGGGTGAATTAAGGGTAAGATTTCAATGTTTCAGTTCAGTTCAATGAAACTTCATTGGCGTGACAAACTACACAGCATTTAAATTGGTTAGTCTCTAAGGTGCCACAAGTACTCCTTTTCTTTTAGCATTACCAAAGACACTCCCCCCCCCCCCGCCCACCTTGGAGAGATCCTCAGGTCTTTATCAGAGGCAAACCCACCTAAAATAGGGTTAGAGACTATATTTGGGGTTAGATCCCCTGTGTCCATTTGGCATTTAAACTCTGAGTGTGAACAGCTTTGCTTTGGTAGGGTTTAAGTGTGAGTCCCTTAAGTTATTGTGACATGTTGGATTTTGTGGTGGGGGCCAGGGGGGGTGTTGGTTTTTAAAAAATTTTTAGTAGTGTCTCAGGACCAGGTGCAGATCACAGAATAAGTAGGTCACATGTAGATGGTGGCATGCACCTCTGAAAGGAGATTACAGATACCAGAAAAGTCTGGTCTCCAGATTCAATAGGCAGGAACAGATTATATGTGTTTATTTATGTATTTTAAGTCAATAAAGGTGTTGGCTCTAAAGGCAGACAGTGCCTAGTGTATTTTAATCTTGTCATTTCCATCGAGATGGACCTTTAACCCGTTCCAACCTGAATCCCAACCAGACAATTCCCCAGCACTAGTATTGTGGCTGTACTAAGATCCCTTGCAGGAGCTGTTTGTTGACCACATTCACGTTCAGAGCCCTGAAGCTAAAAGCACTTTACACCATAAAATAAAAGCACTGTCTTTTTTTCTAAAAGGTTACGTCTGGAGGCCACGCTGCTCATACTTCATACAGAAAACTACTGAAAGGGCTATGAAATCCTGTATGATTTACACTCTCTCTCAGTGCATTAGGATATAGATCTACTCGACTCTAAAAATACTGTGGAGTTTCTAACCGACCTGAATATATGTGCATTATTTCAGAAAGTCTGTTAGAAAACTTGTCAACACATTATAAAGCATAAACCAGGACTTGGCCATTAAATACAGCCATCAGAGACAGAATATATATTGCAGGAAGTGCTGAGAAAAGTCCTTGCGCTCAAAAAAGGTCTATTAGCTAAGAGTTTACACACATTACACCAAACGGTTTAGGGAGAGCCCATGGACCATAATTACAAGGCATAAAAGGAATCAGTAAAGGCTTTACAACCCCAAACGCAGTTAACTGGACTGCCAGAAAAATATTTTTAACATTGTCATAATTTATTACCCATCAAGCGTCACATCAAGGATTGTAATAGTTATGTTGTCCCCACGTGTTCTAGTTAAACTACCCCTTTCACTCCTCCTACCTCCCAAAATCCGCCTGCATCGTTAATTTGTGGTGATATAATATTTAAAAAATGTCTCCTGACTCCTTTTCTTTCTTGAGTTTAGTTACCTTGCTGAAATCACATGGCTATGCAAAGTGATGGGGAGAAAAGAGAGAGAAACGCAATTGTGATCAAATGCCAATATTAATTACAATCCAGACGAGATGAAATATTGTTTTAGGGGGAAAGACTTTCCATTGAAATCGAGGATTTTATGATGCTGAAATCAAGTGTATGCTAATGGTGGAAACCGTCTAGCTGCCACTCACAAAAGCATCTGTAAAATTGGCTTTTTAATGTATGTTTTAAGATGTGGTTTAGGAAGTCACCTCTGGAATCTAACGCATAGTGCAATAATAAAACAGATCTAGTTGTAACTAAGTGCTTAATTTCCTATGGTTCTAAAAAGAAAATCAATAAAATGTTGCCGGTTATTTATTGGAAATAACCACAGATAGGTATTCTGATGGGTAGGTTGGCTTTAGAGAGCGCACAACTGCGTAATGAATTGTAATTCAGAAGACTGTTAAGTATGAACCACAGAACCTTTCAGGGATAATAAAGTCATTACTTTTTACACTGCAGCCACCTTGAAAAGCTTTATACACGCTATTATATATAAATCAAATCACATATGTATCTACAAGTACACACACGCCTATTTATATACGTTCTGTAAAGGAACGTATGTTTAGATACAGAAGTACCACCTCTGAATTGCAGTGTGATACCAAAAGAATGAGGCAGGTTGCTATTGTCACCTGAAATTATTTTTATTTTAAAAAACCCTCATACAGAATACTATTTACTTTCTGCCTGTCCGCTCCCCCATATCTCCCCCCGCCCCAAAGCAGAGAAATTAGATTCATTTATAGCTTGAAGGAGTCTATTTAAATAGGAGCAAGACAAAAATAGATAGTGGTGTAAGACAGATGCTGACCTACTCCGAAGAGCCCATGGCATAGAGGAAATCGTGTCAGGTAGGTGGTTACAGAGCCTTACTGCAAATGAATCCTGCGTCTTCACAGGCTTTGGGGATTCATTTTTTATTTACATGGGGGGGGGGGAAAGAAACACCCTCATAGTGGTGAGCATCAACCCCTCCTTTTCCTTTTCAGAATCACTCACTCCACTGCGCGTTATAGGAACACACTCGTTTTAATAGGGTTAAAACTTTACCCGCGGAAGCTAGAGTGTGAAAGCAGGATTAGCAGTTGCATCTCTCTCGCTGTAGGTAGCTATAAAATGAAGCTGGACCATAAAACTGTGGTAAAGTGTGTGTGTGTGTGTGTGTGTGTGTGTATAAAAACCAAACAAAAGCAAGTTAAAGTGCACAACCGACACCTCTTGGCTGAAGAGTACGATGATAAGGAAAGTGCAATAATAAAACAGATCTTGAGGAGGAGGCTATTGCGCTTCATGACAGGGGAGAGATCACCTCTAAGTAGTTCGATGGATTCACCTGCAGCTCTTGATCAGTCCCTTTGAAGCCGCCTGGCACACACCCCCTACCTGCCCCACTTCCCCTCACTCCTCGCCTAGACAGCCCGGGAAAGCAGCCGCGATGCTGGAGGAAGTTGAGGCTTTAAGGGATGTTTGCGAATAAACTTCAGATTGTAGGGGGTGCTATTGCTGTACCGTTGACGTGAAACTGAAAGTATCCCACACCCGAATGAAACAGACCTGTGACAACAGCAGCGTGTGTGTGTGTTTCTCCATTAAAGAGACAGGGTCTTGTTTCCAACAGGTCTCCTCTAATTTCTCCACAGACTCTCCCCAAAGGGCGCTTATAACCCAGCGCGTGCACTGCTCACACATTCACGCACACACAAAAGGAGCCGTCCGATCGGAAGCGGCTGAGAATTCAGGGACAGCCCCGACCACTTGCATTCCCTGCTGCTTCTGTGAACAAACTGAAGGATTTCCACCCCCCCCCCCCCCGGCTCTCCCTGGGTAACGTCATTATTACAGTTTTGCGTGTTAAAATATTTCTTACAGTCACAGCAAGCTTCTTCTTTCCCCTTCCTGTGCTAGATCCACTTCTTCCCTCCTTTGCACCTCTTTTCTCTCTGTCCCTCTCTCGGCGTTCTCCGCCGGGGAGCCGGGCTCGCCACCTCGCTGCCCTGCCGCGGCACACGCTTTGTAACCCTTCTGCGGAGCAATTGCCACAAACGCTCTCTTCCTCCTCTCCCGCTTATCCCTTCTCGCAACCCGATCCCGCCCCGGGGGAATGTGTGTGTGTCCCCGGTAAGTTACAACCCACGCTGCGGCCGCTGCCTCCTCGGCCCCAACTCCCGCCGCTTCGCCTTGCCCCCTCTGCCCATTTGCTCGGCTCGGCTCGCCCCGCTTCTCGCCAGTAACGTAGCTGTGGTTTGCGCTTCCTGCGCTCCCGTTTCGTTAGTTTTATTAGACACGGTCACTGCTCGTTACATCTCAGAGCCCGGCGTGGCTTTGCAGGCTGCCTCGGCTGTTTTTATTTTATTTGTTTTTTTGGACTGCTGGGTGCGGGGCGGGAGGGGGGGGGGTATAAAGTTCCACCGCCTTCCCTTTTCCTTCTCATCCTCTGCCTCTTTTCTACTTGACTCTGAAACTCGTCTCCTTTCTCCCATCTCCGGCCTGAAAGGAAGGAGGCTGGCCCTGGCCGCCTCTCCCCCGGCTGCTCCAAGCGCAAACTTTCCTCCGTCCGTCCCCTTGCCCGCTCTCTCCCTTCGTGCTGCCTGCCAGGGCCTGTCACTGCTTCTCGGGGCTTTGCTCGTGCGGCGGTGGAAAGTTTTGAATCCCCTGGCTTTGCCTGCTGGGTGGGCTCCCAGACTACCTGCCGTGCCTCCCCCTCCTGGGAGCATCCCATCGCATTTCACCTGGGCAAGCCTCTCTTCGTTTTTCAGCGCGGGGTGTGCGTGCGTGTGTGTGTGCCGCTGGTTTTATTTATTTATTATTTCCCTCTCCCCTCCTGGCCACTCCTGTGTTTGCCTTCTGCACTTACTCCTCTGCGGCCACTTCTGCACCGCGTGCCCAGCTCCTTTCCCCTCCACCCCAACCCCCCTGCTCCGCGAAGCAGCGTGCGCCTGGTGTCTAGTGCACCCCCCTCCCGCTTCCCCCTCCCCTCTCCCCCCTGCGATCACTGTCCATTGGCTTGTCCTGGTCTCTTTTTCATGTCCAGCCCCTGATGAGTGTCCATTGGTGTTGCCTTCCTCTTCCCTCCTCCCCCTCTCTCCAGCTTGCCCTGCCCATGTTTTGTATGTCTCTGTCCATCCAGGCTCCTGACGTTCAAGTTCGCAGGGACGTCACGTCCGCACTTGAACTTGCAGCTCAGGGGGGCTTTTGCCATTTTTTTCATCTCTCTCTCTCCTTCTCTCCCTCTCTCCCTCTCTCTCTCTTTTTTTCTTGCACAAAAAAAAAAAAAAAAAAAAAAGCCATGACTGCTATCCCACAATTCATCTTCCCTGCGCCATCTTTGTATTATTTCTAATTTATTTTGGATGTCAAAAGACATTGATGAAGATATTTTCTCTGGAGTCTCCTTCCTTTCTCACCCGGCTCTCCCGATGTGAACCGAGCGGCTCACAAGCCACCGCAGCCACCAACCCACCATGTCTCGCCGCAAGCAAGGCAAACCCCAGCACTTAAGCAAGCGGGAATTTTCGCGTAAGTAACCCAGCGAGCAACGTGCATTTATTTCTGTGCCTCCTTCGGGCGGGTTATTTTATTTCAGAGCAGCGGAAAAAGCGGGCGAGAGGGGTGGAAATGCACTAAATGTTGGCTCGGATTTTCCCCCCGTCTCCGTCTCTCTCTAATTAAATCACCTCGATCACTTTTCTTTTCTTTGCTCCTGGAGCATGCCCCCTTCTTACTCACTCTCTCTTCCTTCTTTTTCTTTTTCATCCCCCCTCTCGCTTTGATCTGCGTTTTTCGAATTGTGCCAGTGTGACTTGTGAAAAGAGCAGAATTTGTCCGTGCGGGGTGTGTGTGTGTGTGTGTGTGGGGGGGAGTGTAAAGAAATCCCTGCAGGAAAGACAGACTGGACATTGGACGCACAGACAGACAGACAGACAAGAGATTAGGGTTCAGTGGAGTGAAGAGAAAAGTCTAGGGGCGCGTGGTTTTAGCCAGATCCCCATCACTCCCGAGCGAAACCTTGTTGCGTACCGGGGGGGGGCAATGTCCCCCCTTTTGTTTCCGCTCCCAGGCGTGGGGTGTTTGTCCCGCTCTCTTCTGCGCCTCTTTTCCCTCCGCGGCGAAAGGGCAAAAAAGGCAGCAGCGGCTGCTTGTGCTGCCCGGAGCCATCGTTGGCTTTCCCCGGGGCTCCGCCACAATCGGACCTTCCCCCCCGCCAACCGACTCATGCCAGCCTTCCCCCCACTCCTCCCCTCCTCCCCCACTGCCCCCAACTCCTGCCTGCGAACTTGGGCTGCTTGGCTCGGCTGCACGGGGCAGAGCGAGCGAGCGAGAGGAATTCCCTCCTCTCTCGCTTACTATTTTTTGGAAGATTTTCAAAAAAAGTGGAAGTGGATTTTGATTGGGAAAAATCTCGTGTCTGAATGTTTACAAGCACCGCGTGTGCGGGGAGCCTCCTGCCAACAAGCAGAGACAAGAGCAAACCCAAGCAAAGCACACACACACACACACACACAAAACAAAACCCCAAACCAACCAACTATCGTCACTGTCACGATCAAATTAAAAAAAATACGCTCCCGGGGACATTTTAAAAATACACTATTCGTCACAAAAATTCTCCCCTTCTTCCACTCCCCCCCAACAAAACATAAAAGCTGAATGCAAAGTAAGCAAGGTCGCTGCTTACACAACAAAAGGGAACTCGGATCTGGAGCGGGTGGGAGGGAAGACGAGAGGAAATATTTTATTTTTTGGGCGGTGGGAAAGCAAAAAGATGCACGCTTGTATTTTATTTCCCCCCAGTATTCCAGGTGTTTTTCTCCCCTCTCAGGGACCGTCCGTTTCAGTGCAATTTCTCTGTCTGCAAACAACACCCCCCCCCGCTCCCCTCTCGCGCTCTGTAAAAGTTTACAATGCAATTTCCCCACTCAGATGCATAGATATTTGGAGCAAGATTTGCACATAGTCCGTTGGAGAATGTTAACGATTTGGATAAAACAGTTCCCGTAAAGGCAGGGGAAGCCAAAACATTTGCTTGCGTAAAGTTTTCTTTTAGACACCTTAAGGTTCTCTTCCCTCCACCCCTCATTGTTTCAGTCATTTGCTACAGTTCTAAGAGCTTTTTGAAATGCAAAACGTTGTGTTATGTTATGTATTGCAACATAACTGTCACAATTCTGGAGGTGCTATCTCTTCCAGAACATGTCGCAGGAACCCACCCCCTTCCACCCCATTCCTCCGCGAGCTGCCGAAACTGGTGCCGACACAAGTAACCTATGTTACTTTTAAAAATGCATATACCAGAGTGCATTCATCCTTAGGGTTTGTGTGTGCGCGTGTGTTAGACTCACTTGTCACAGAATAATTGAAAGATTAGATTTCCATCCCCAAATCCTTCCCCAGTCGTGCAGGGTTTCCCCCTGACTTGGCAATTCCATATGTAATATACAGATACATATTTAAGTTATTAATTTTTTTTTGCTGGCAGTGTAATTTCCATTCGGTACATTTCTCCCTGTGAGATTTGGGGGGCTTGGGGGAGGGGGGGGCGAGATGTGTTGGAGTTGGATTTAAAAAAAATTGGTTAACGATAGGTTTGCATGTGAGATTCAGTCGCTAGGAGGCAGAACAAGATCAAAAAAGCCCAACGAACTTGAACCTGATCAGTTTCACCACGTCTTTAATTCTCAGCATTCTCGTTTAGGAAGGAGGGAGGGCGGGTTTTCTTTCTTTCTCTCTTCCCCCCCTTTTCCCCCTTTCTTTCTCCCCCTCCCCCTTTCTTTGTTCTTAATTTTGCCTTGCTTTATGGCTGGTGAGGAAACAGGAACGCAGCCCGTAGACCCCACACTGGAGAAAAGATCCAGTTTCTCCCTGTAATGTTTGTTTTAACGCCGTTCCCGTCCGCTCAGAGCAGCAAACGATTTCCGAGGATCGCGAGGACTAGCAAGTTGGCCCTTCATTTCCCCTCACTACCCCGACGGCCGATCAAGCCGTGGGGGTCACAGACGGGCTCGGGAGCCTTTCCAGGCGGCGCTGGGCTGGCTGGGATCCCTTCTGTCTAGTCGTAGCTTTGCACGATGCTGTAGCGCGTGGAAAGCAAACGACATCCCCCCCTCCAGAAAAAAAAAAGCTTGAAACACTCTTTCGAAGGGGGAGCTGAGTGGCACCTTCTCATCTGTGACTTTGTGTTTGTTTGGCTTACTTGGACACATCTGCTTTTGTTTGTCTCCCCCCCTCCCCCCCCCAAGCGGGTCGGGTCTCGCTACAGGCCCATCCGAGGCAAAGGCAATCCTCATGGGCGCTGGGGGGGGGGGGGGGGCCCGCTGGGGTGGAGAAGCGGGAGCCGAGCTGAGCTCGGCCCCAGCCGAAAGGGGAGACGGCACCTTGCTGGCTCGCACGTGTTTGCACTAAGCTTCCGATCCACGCTGCTCCCATTGTGCCTGCTCAGTCCTCTCCAAGTTCGCTCTCCCGTCTTTTTCTTTCCTTCCTTCCCTCATGCGCTCCCGCTTTCTGTCTGCTTTAAAACACCGGCCACTTGCCCACATTATTAGCCATCATTTGTTCCCTTAGACTGTAAGACAATCCCAGGACACACTTGAAGGCAAACTTGGACTAGCCCGTCACTCTCTCTTTCTCCCCTGCTTTTCTTTTTTGTCTTCTAAGCTGGACACAGCCCTGCCTGCTGCTGGGGCATTTAGACCTCTCTGTCTTGCTGAATCTATACAGATACATTTCTCCCCCCCGTCAACCCCCCACTCTTGGTAACACAGAACTGGTGCTTTTTCTTCCATTGCGTCCCTCACACTTCTTTTGAGACAAAAATCCATTGAACTTGATACAGAAGATGGTGTTATTTTGGTGGATGTTGGTGGGGAATGGGGGAAGGGCGAGAGAGAGGCTAGAAATACATGCATCTGGAGAAGTGGGGTTTTTACCCAGGAAAGCTTATGCCCAAATAAATCTGTTAGTCTTGAAGGTGCCAGCAGACTCCTTGTTGTTCTTGTAGAAATACATGTTAATGGAAGGGCATTTTGCATTAAAAACATACAAGGAATGATTAGATACCCAGGAAGGAGCTTGTGATTGCCCCAGAATTCAAAGAAGTGCACTGCAAATCAGTGGCCAGGCCAGGTGAATTGTATTTTCAAATTTTCTTTGTGCACCTGGTTTTTTTTTTTTTAAACAGCAGAAATAATAAAACCACATTTTGCTTTCTCTCAGAGGATCGGGAGCCAAACGTTTTGTAACGAACACGTTGCCAGAGGTATTTCATACATTAGTATATAATTCTTGTTAATTAGCAATAATTTACCTTAAGAGCATAGAAAATGTTGAGGTTACAGGTTTTATATCTGTACATTTGATCATCTTGTTATTTTCGAGAACTTTGCCTCCTATAAAATTAATTAGGTGAAATGTGGAGGTGTAATCAGCAGCCTCTGAATTCCCACTTCATTTCCTGGTTTTGATTGTAAATCAGCCCAGTCAGTACAGTCTTTAGCAAAGTCTGTTTTTGTTTCGCATTACTTTTAACTGTCTGGTATCTGAGCACAATATTCTCTTTCATTGCTGAGTAATATTGACAATTTCAGAAACAAATCAGGCCAACGAATAAATATTACAATTGAGTAATTATTGTGCTAGGTTCCAGTCAAAACAGTTATAAGGAGAATATCAATTTAAAAAAATATTTTGCTACTTTGAGTTAGTAAACTAAAAGTTACAATTACTGCTTAACACAAAAAAACCTTTTTTGTAGAAAGAATCTGATGGAATGACTTCCATATTCAGTTACTCACTTTGTGCAAATGCAAACAGTTGTTACTTGAGAAAATGACATAGACATTTCAGAAACATTCCTGTTTCTTTTTCTATGCCAGAAAAGTGTAAATGCATGTTGTGTATTATCTTTTGGTCAGTAAGGTTAGAAGAAAACCCAAATGATTAAGATATTGTTTTTATTAATATGAATATAACCTTCATATTCCTGTAGTTGACCTTATGTTAAATTAGGAGTAGCACTAGAGGCAAGAAATTATGGAATGTATCAGTGTGTCCTAGTTGGAGCTAAGGTACGGTAAGGTGCTCTTTCAATATTATTTTACACAGCACAACTGGGAGCTACTCCAGATCTTCCTCCTCAATATTCAGCCTAGGTAGGGTTGAAATAAATTTAACCTGAGTTCACTGGATTTTTGCACTTTATCAAAATCTGTTCCAATATTCTGCAGTCAAATTAAAATCTATTTTTTGATTCTCTGTGGCTTTAAGTTCATTAAATGTGAAATTGGAGGCTCACTAAAGAAGGTCAGACTGATTAACTGTTTAAGAGTTGTATTGGGTCTCACTTTCATTTACTGGCAACATTTTGAGGCATTTTATGTTTTGTAGTGTCAGCTCATTTTGGTGGTGGTTGTTGTTGTTAGTATATGTATTATGTTGCATAGGGAGAGAAATACCAACAGGTTTTTTTCCTTGCAAGGTTATAGTGATGAATGCTGCATACATATTGCTAAGATATTTCAGTACAAAGTTAAAAAAAGCAAACAGAAAAGAAAGGCATGTCTGCCTTGTTATACAATCCACTGACGACTATGTGTGTAGAAATAGTCTCATAATGAAGCTTTTTGGAGCTCATTCAGAAAATTAGTCAACTTTGACAACATTAGGCAGGGTATTTCAAGTGTAAAGAAAGGTCTTTTCACCGTTGTTATGAAATGTGGCATTCAGTTGACCATACTGATTTATATATGATGAAGACCACAATTGCTAACATATTTAGAATAATTTAGGCATTCCTTTTTTCAGAATGAAAAAAACAAAACAAAAAACCTAATTGGCTTATTTTCTTAAGTATGCAAAGGTATCCTGTTTAGTTAAGTGTCTAAGTAGAATTGCCAGTGAATTTGATATTTCTTTAATTTCTGGGAGGTATCTGAAAAGTATTGCTATTTAGTTTCCTTATTTATTAATTTGGTCTTTTTTCCCATGATTAGTTCACAAGTTTTCAATTTTTAAACGGAATAAAATATAAATATATAAACATACGTACATACACACACAGCACAGGACTATGTAGCCCCTGTGCATATGTGTGCATGCACAATCTATGTGGCTTTTAATGTGTATGTTCATTTATTTGCATGCACACACACGCACACACCTAACTCACAGTTCAACATTTCAAAACGTATGACTTGGTCATCAATATATAGCTATTCCATGACCAAGTCATACATTACGTGTGCGTGCACACACACACACACACACACACACACACTTCAGTCATAAATACATAAACATAAATAATACCTCTGGCAACAAAGGACAGTATTGGCTTTTCTTCATGATACCATAGTTGTCTCACAGTAATTTTTTTTACAGCTGTTATTTTAATTTTTACTATTAAATCATTCATTCAAATTAGAACTTTGTCTAAATCCAGGAATATAGATAAGATTGCAGGTTCCATTCTGACAGTTCTGCATATTACAGCTGCTTTCTCGAAATATGTTCCCTATCAACATCGATAACTACATTTGCTTCTTGTTGGACTGATAATGTGCTATCTGTTCACGTAATGCAGGTTTAATTTTTTCATTCTATAAATATTCAAAACTCGGTGTAGCATCCATGAACAGAGGGCTCAACAACACGATTTTCTCTCTCCCCACCTTCCCCTTCTTTTCACAAGAGGTCTAATGTTTCTCCTTTTGTTTCTTAAACTGCAGCCGAACCTCTTGAAGCCATTCTTACTGATGATGAACCAGAGCATGGCACGTTGGGAGCTCCAGAAGGGGATCATGACCTCCTTACTTGTGGCCAGTGTCAGATGAACTTCCCATTGGGGGACATCCTTATTTTTATTGAGCACAAACGGAAACAATGCAATGGCAGTCTCTGCTTAGAGAAGGCTGTGGATAAGCCACCTTCACCCTCACCAAGTGAGCTGAAAAAAGCATCCAATCCTGTGGAGGTTGGCATCCAGGTCACACCAGAGGATGACGATTGTTTATCAACGTCATCTAGAGGAATCTGCCCTAAACAGGAACATATAGCAGGTAAACTGAAGCAAGGAGAAGCATTTACAAGTTTATTTCCATGTTCAGTCAAACTGTAGTAATAATGCTCACAGTTGTGAAGTGCTGTGTCTGTTTTTCCGTTCTAGTCACCATGACAGCCAATGTGTTAAATACTCTGCGTTTCAGTTCATATTAAGTACACAAAAAATATTTCCAAGTGGCTGAGTAGTTATAGCATCAACAGGCCCATGCAATACTCATGTGTATTTTCAACAGGGTTTGCTGGGATTCTGTTTTCTTAATTGTATATAGTATAGAAGCTGTCTCCTTGTGTGTTGTCTATCTTAATTCCATATATGTATATTTTACACTCTGCTGTGTTATACAAGAACTAGCTTTACAGTCTTTTGTTAACTCAGGGGTGAAAGAGTTAACTGAGCATCAGCTAGCCTTGGATCCATATTGGCTGTCAGCGTATGGACTGTAATTAAACACAGCCCCATGGCAAAGTGACACCACCGACCTTGACTTTAAGATGCCATTTTCGACTGGCCAGGCCAGAGTAGAGAGGGCAGTTGCTGAAGCGCACAGACATGCTTATTCGAAAAGTTTAAGGGCATGTTGGAAATTTCAAAAGGTTGGTTTGACAGGAAAGGCCGCTGTCTGCAGCCTGCCTCCTCAGCCAAATGATAAATGCTTCTCTGTGCTCTCTCTTGTCTCTGATGTGGTTTTGACAGATGTATCTTGATTTTGTTTGTGGTTTACACAACCACATGTCACCCGTACAAATGTCCAAGACTGAGTTCTGTTTTGCACAACAAACAATATATAAATGTAATTTAAAAAAGTAAATAATGTCATTTCCTATGATAAATTTTTAATTGGAAAGACACTATGTGAATGTCTCAGTGGCTGAGGTTAAAATAATTGAACTTAATATGAAAAAGAAAATCAGAGAAATACTGGAAGGCTAACAAGTCAGTTAGTTTCTAAAATCCTGAAAGTAAATATGAACACCACCCATTGCTTGGTATTAAATTATGCTTAAAATATAATTATAAATATGTAGTGCTGTAGCATATTAAAATCAACCAATGCCTGATCTAGTTTTATGGAAACATCAGTTAGGATAAGACATCACTTATACCTCTATTTTAATAGCCTAAAGGGTAGTTCAGTGTTAGCAAAAGTACTGTATGTAATCACATGATATACTGGATCTTGTCTTTGACTTACCATGGCCACACAGTTCAACCATTATAGGTCAGTAGGCATTGCAGGATTCAATGTGATATTTTTTTCCTCCAACCAATCATTAAAATCAAATGTGGCATTTATGTTTTTTGAAAGCTTTGTAGTAATAGTATATATATATATACACACACACACGCACACACATATATAGGGTCAACTTACTGGCAAGCTGCATTTTGAAAGATGGCTTAAATTTTGCAGCACATTCAACTTCTGTGACATGTAGGTTAAAGAGTTTTTTTCCAAAGTGGTATATGGCAGTGACCATTTCCATGTGCTGTCTGTGATTTGAAGGAAAATGAACAGAAGTGTAGGGCATGATTAATGAAGCAAGAGCCTAGCGGAAGGGATTTGTAGTCTTCAGAGATCTGAAGCCATGCTAAATCACCAAATATGGAGTAACACTTGTGTGATGTAACATCGTATTTACATATTGAACGGCTCTGTTTAAAAGACAAAACACAGTATCTGTCAAGCAAGAATTAAAACCACACTTCTTGCCATGGTCTCAAATAGGCCATTCAGTCTAAGATACAACCACACTGAGGAGTTTAGAATTATTTGCTTTAGTTTAGAATTCTACTATTACAGTTGTTGAACCATGTAAGCCAAAGCCTGCCTTCTGTACTCATATATAGAGGGTGGTTACCATTAATTAGATTCCTAGCATTAGTTAAGTGGGCAGAATTTGGCCCTAAAGGATGTAGTGGTGTTGCTAATTAGAAGAATAATATGTTTTTAACTGTCCCTTGTTCTTCTAAATGGTTCAGTAAGCTAAGGACTGAATTCGGGGTATGTACAATATACAACAGACAAAAAAAACCTAAGGACCTGATCCTGCAAACCCTTTCACATGCACATAAATCATATGTGTGCAGATAGTCTTTACTCAGAAAAGTAGTTCCATGAAAGTCAATAGGACTACACACAGAAGTAGAGATTACTCTTGTAAATAAGGACTGCAAGATCTAGCTCCAGTTCTTTTCATGTCTCCTGTGTAGAGAGATTTCTGTGCAATTATGTTTAAAACTGACACATACCAGAAGTCCAATACTGTCTATATTTCTTGCACATTCAAAGCTCCAGCTGGAATCAATGGGAGTTTTGGGTATGGAAGGAATGTAAGATCAGCTTCTAATTGTTTTCAAAGGAAAAATATATACAAGCTCTTCAGTGGGTGCACAAGTGATGTGACTCAGGTGAGGTAAAGCTTTCATGCACGGATAATTATGAGCTCTTATACTGTTCCTTTAATTTTTATTTAATATGTTTCCACACTGGAATTAGTTAACCAAGAGACAGTTTTGTCATATCACAAAGTAATATGTCAATAGCAGGAATGATCACACCAATGATTTCCAGTGTCCGTCAGTGAAATTAACAGTCAGGGTCATTGAATAAGTTGTGGAGTTCAGGTATTTTGGGGGTCCCTGAAGTGAATCTCAGAATGGCAGTTACTCATTCCCATATTTTATATCTGTGTTCCTTTTTGCAGAAGTAGAAAGGAAACAATAATCACAAGAATGCAAAAGATATGTGAATATATAATTTAAAAAATAGGGATAAATGATACAGAAGCTGAATGAACCAATTCTTCATGATAAAAGTCCAGAAAATATATTTAATAACAATGTGAAAAATGCAGCCAGTTAAGTATTCTTCAGAAAGAGGTTACTGTAGTGTTCTAGGTTAGATATATTTATAGTACCTGCTTTGTGTGTCATTTTACAGTCAATAATTTGGTGCATTATAATAAGAGACCATCTTCCTAAGATAAGTAATGCTTAGGGATCAATGCACCCAACTACAAGAAAGGCAGTCACTCAAATGTACAGTGAAATGATGTATATTTTAACTGTCTCTAGGTGTCTCTTCATCCTAACCATTTTCCAGATTAAGGAATGCTTATAATAGTATGTGTGTACATGTACAATATGCATGCATATACATAAAATATAGATACACACATCCATACATAGCTGTTCTGTGTATGTGTGTGTATCTCTCTCTCTTTGGCTTGATATAAAATTTTGAGTGACGATCCAGTGCTATGGCAGAAATGTCATAAATTTAATGAAAATTAATAGGATATGTTGTGTGGGTCCAATGAGGCAGCTTTCATCAATATGTGTGTCAAACACTCACCACCAGATATCAGCAGTCTGTGATTTCCAGTGAGTGCTACGGGCAGGGGTTTAGTTATCCAGTCTCTTATTTTACAATAGAGGAAAATATTAACTGAAGTACCAAGATATCAGTGAATGTAAAACTGCTGTTCACTTACTGAAAAGGGAAAAGAAATATTTATAGTCCATTGGTGTTAGGTTTTGATGCTTGTTGAATATATAAAGCTGTATAGATTAATGAAAGATTATTTTTTGGTGGGGAGGGAAAGGCATTTTAACTACTACTACACTTCATATTTATCTCATTGGAATGTTACATATATTCTCATTTATAATTATGATTGTATAGCTTTATATAGTGTATATACAAAGAGAGAGAGAGAGAGAGAGAGAGAAGTTCACTTTGAGTGCCTGCATCTGTTTTCTCCAATCGCCAGTTAGATACAAATCCAACATAAGGAAAACAAATGTAAGAAATACGTTTCCATTGAATAATCAAATGGAAAATGAACCTAGTATGATACTAACTGATGGACTAAGTACATTTAACTATTAGAATTCTCAGAATAGAATTTCTTTGACTTGTCTATATGCCACAGAAATTCTCTTAGTACACTATTAGCAATTACTGTTGTAATTCTGTGATGCGTAAATTGCATTTCCTTATTATTTTATTTTGTTCTGGATAAAAATCATTGGCTGATGAACTGAATAGTTAGCATTGCATCTAAACAATGAGACAGAAGAAGCTTAAATATTCTAAAATGGCTAAAATTCTAACTGTAATTGTTCAAAACAAAGCTTCATAGCAGATAGTAATGGGCTGGACAAAATAGTTACAAGATGGAAAATTTGTGAGGGCACTATCCAAAGACTCATGATTATGAGATTCTCAGTCCTGCGTACAAGCTGTATTTGTAAATAAGACAGAGAAAGGTTGTGAACTGGCAGCTTGGATGTTTTGTTAAAGTACAATGTCAGAGAAAGTCTCTTTAAGACAAATTGTAAATAGAACTGTCACAATGATTGCATGATTGAGCTACAGAAGTGTCTTTCAATTGTTGGCATTGTCAGAGGACTTTTGAAAGCTTAATTAAACACAGTGGCCTGTATGGCTGAGAAATTTACTTCTAGAAGGGAAAAAAATGTTAAAAACGTAGGCGATCCAAAAGTTGTTACTCTTTCAGTGACACACAAAAGATTAAACTGTTTGTGCATTTTCCTCGTTGCCTTTTTATAAATAACAGTTTTGAAGAAGCATCCATGTGATATCAAGATCATCCCTTGTATGAGGTGGAGATTGTTAGTTTTTCTATTCCCTGCTGTTACAGATAGTTAATGTAAAAATAGCCTTTTATTGGAAACACAAATATGTGTTCATTTCAAGAACAGAAGCAGAGTGTAGAAAGTTTCCTTCTGATTCAGCATGATTATTCCAGGGAGGCATCAAAAGTGTTATAATTCCTTAAATTGCGCCATTTCTTGTCTTCTGCAAATCGTATCCTTTGGTTTAGAGGACTAGAAATATGTTTTGCATTCTTTCTTCTATTATATGTGACATTTAATTGTTAAGCTCACCATGGACTGAAATATAGCTGGATACAAAATATTTGTGGTTGAAGAGCCAGCCTAGCAAGCATTAAATTTAGCAGATATGAA